CCAGCAACAATATACTAAAAATTTAGATGTTCCGACGTCGATTTACGCACCCCAACTTTTCCAAAACATCGCTATTTTCTCGAAAAACCCTTTCTTTGACGGAAAAATTCAAACTCAAAATTTTGAAGAACCGACTTCAGGATCGACTTTCCCGACCTCGGTTACCTTTCGTTAAGCCTTATACAAAATCATTATTTTCACAAAAAACGCATTCCCTAAAAGAAAAAATCAACTTTTAAATTTTGAAAAACCGACTCCAGATTCGGACTCGTCAATACCGATTTACTTTCGCCACTCTTTTTAACATGGAAAATCCGGCCTCAGATTCGGAATTCTGGCCCTCGATAACCTATAGTAACGTTTCATCAAAAGGCTCAAAAACATTAAAGTAAAGAAGCTCATTTCTGATTGGTCCACTTACTAGCCAATGGGAAGGTCGGATATAAAATCTGACCTCAGATTTGGAGTCCTGGCCCTCGATAACCTCTGCCAAAGTTGCATCAAAAGGTCCAAAAAGCTTAAGATACAAAAGCTCATTTCTGATTGGTCGACTTTCTCACGAATGAGAAAGTCGAATATAAAATCTGACCTCAGATTCAGAATCCTGGCCCTCGATAACCTATAGTAAAGTTTCATCAAAAGGCCCAAAACGCTTAAAATAAAGAAGCTCATTTCTGATTGGTCGGCATCCTAGCCAATGGGAAAGCGGGATATAAAATCCGCCCTCGGATTCGAATTTTCCGTCCTCAATTACCTTTGGTGAGACTTAAGAAGTTACGCATAAGTAAAGTTCACTTCTGATGTTTTTTTTACCCTGACACATAGATACAAACGCATTTTATTTCATATGACCCTCCCTACAGTCGAGGAAATATAGATAGAATAGTCAAAACTTGTTTTCGAAATATATATAAGATAGAAAGTTAACAAATACTGATAATAATGGATTTGAAAAAATAGAATATAACAGGTTCAATGTTTGAGCACATGAACTACATAAACGAACACAGAATTTGTACTTGACAACACAAAAAAGGTGAAGCTTTGAAACAGACCTAAAAGCTCACCTTCAATAGTGAATAGCATGTCGAAAAAAACTTATTACTACTAATATTGTTAATTCTTGCCTTTTATCATATCAATTATTCAGATATCAGAAGAATTTTTTTTTCTTGAAAAAGTTTCTCTAAAGATCATTCTCGTTATATGTCAATATAAAATCATTTATGAGATGTCGAAAGTATAAAACTAAATTCCAAAACGAACAAATTTCATCTAAATTATAATTTTCAAGTTCCTATGAAATATCAGCAAAACAAATCTCGAGTAAAATCCAAGTTAAAATTGTTTGATTGCTCTAAAACAAGTCTCTATGCAGAAAATAGTCAAATCGATAGTTATCGTTTTTTTTCAAGTAAAAAAGTCCAGACAACTTGCAATATTGTTTCTTGGATAAACGTATATGTTTTGAGCATAAATAAAATCATCGTTGAGTTTATGAATCTATGATTCCTTCATAAGTTTCTAGTGTTTCAGAAATGAAATCGTGTTTAACTCTTCACAATAAAGGCTTTCAATAATAAACTATAAATATTGCGTTAAAGATATGAAAGTATATAGATAAACATGTTAAAACATGTTTTATGTAATTGTAACCAAACTCTATCTAGGTGAGTTTGATTACTGTTGATAAACATTTTTGTTTCATTTAACCATCTGCTCTCGCAATAATTATGACGTTATATATTTATTTTTACTTCGTTCGTCATGTAACAGATAGTAAGCAACACTGTTATCTTTTTTGAGTGACTCTATATGTGCGTTGATGGTGCAAGACAAAAACTTCATAATAAAGTCATATAAAAAGGCAACAAAATCATTTCATTCTCTATTAATAACTTCTTTAGAATTCATTTAAAAGCATAAAGAAATTTTTACAATGCATATCTTCTTCACGATTGTATCTCTAGTCGCTATCTATATTGGTATGAGCCAATTGAAAATATAAAAGAACTCTAGTATTGTATCGAAATATTTTGGATAGGTGTGGTTTAATGCAACAATGGCACGCAAATATCTGCAGAACGAATTAGCGACTACTGCTATTATTGTTCGAATTGTCCGCAACCGTTCGATGATCGCAGTCCATATGTTACGCGAGTTTCTTCAAACACGGGTTGGTGTGCTGTAAGTGAACTTAATTGATAATTTTCTTCGATCTTGATCAATTAACTATCGACTATTTTTTTAGATGATGAGCCGTACGAGTACGCTCGATGGAATTTATACTAGAGGCACTGCCCAGGCGAGCAAAGGACGGGTAAAAAGACTAGTCTCATATCTAGTCCTGACGGCACGTCCGGTATAGTCTTTTTCTCAAATCGGACTATACCATGACTAGTCTGGAGAAGTTGTCGTCCATAATACCCGTCCAGACTATGTTACTGATGGGCGTCATTGGCTCTGACATGTCTAGTCTGTTTCACTAAAAAGACCCGTCTAGGACTAGTAAGAATCACTAATAGGTGGACTAGTCCTGTAGGAGGACTTTTTGAGAAAAAGATTAGTCAAGACGGGTAACAGCGACACCACATAGAACAAGTTGTAGTCTTGTGTAGTGGACGAGTTCGGACTAGTCTAA